TCCCTTCTCCTCCATTCTCCTCTCGGGATCTTGGGCACGCACGCACACGCGCCCGGTGTGAGTTTTAAGCCACCGAGTCCGGGACGCAAACCGCAGTCGATTATGTGGGAGTCCAGCGACATAGCCATTACGCTAACTGCTGGTTCCCTCTTTATTTCTTCTTTTTCTCTTTTTCTTCCTTCCTTCTTCCTCTTCTTTCTTTCTTCCTCTTCTTTCTTTCTTTCTTTCTTTGTTTCTTACTTTCTTTCTTTCTTTCTTTCTTTCTTCTTTCTTTCTTTCTTTCTTCTTTTTCTTTCTTTTTCTTTCTTTCTGTCTTTCTTCCTTCCTTCTTCCTTTTCTTTTTTTCTTTCTGTCTCTCTCTTTCTTTATTTCTTCTTTTTCTTTTTTTCTTTTTTCTTCCTTCCTTCTTCCCTTTCTTTCTTTCTTTCTTTCTTTTCTCTCTCTTCCTTCTTTCTTTCTTTTTCTTTCTCTTCCTTCTTTATTTCTTTTCTTTTCCTTCCTTCCCATTTCTTTCCTTTTCTTTTCCTTTTTCTTTCTTTCTTTCTTTTTCTCTCTCTTTTGCTTCCTTCTTTGTTTTATTTTCCTTCTTTCCTATATATTTTTCTCTTTATTACTTCCTTCTCTCTTTCTTTCTTCTCTTTCTTTTTTTTTTCTTAATTTTTTTTGCCATAGGACATGTGTACTCACCAGAGACTATGAAAGAGAAAGTGAGAAATCACTCCCCAGGCGGATGACCACACTGCAATCCCTTCTCCTCCATTCTCTTCTGGGGATTTTGGAGATGCATGCACATGTGCCTGGTGTGATGTTCAAGCTACTGGGTCTAGGACTCAAATCATGGCTGGCCACGCGGGAGTCCAGTGCCTTAACCTCCATGCCTCTTGCTGTCCCTTCTTAATTTTCTTGATCAAAGTCTTTCTGAATGGGATTAAGTGGTATTTTATGGTGGTTTGATTTATATCTGCCTTATTATTATTCTTCTTGGAGAGATTTTTGCTATAGGGTGTCTGCGTTTGCCACAGGGACAGAGACAGAAAGCAAGAAATCACCCCCCAGGGGAGATGGCCATGCCGCAATCCCACCTCCTCTATTCTCCTCTCAGGATCTTGGGCACATACATACACACATGCACCAAGTGTGAGTTTCAAGCCACCGGGCCTGGGACTCGAACCACGTGAGAGTCCAGCGACAGAACTGCTATGCCCTTGGCTGGCCCCTGCATGAGCAGAGGTGTTGTTCTCGGTTCCCCGTGCTGAGCTGTCTGCTCTGGCTTGCCTTACAGGAAAATGGCACCAAGGGCTGAGCTGTGCCTCTCGGAACGACCACTGCTACCACCCTCTCAACCACGGCTTTGACTACTTCTTCGGGATGCCTTTGGGATTCCTGAGTGACTGCCAGGCCTCCCAGACCCCGGAGCTGCACCGCTGGGTCCGGATCAAGCTGTGGATCTCCACAGCCGCCATCGCCCTCATTCCTCTCCTGCTCCTCGTTCCCAAGTACGCCGGCTGGTTCCCGGTCCCCTGCAAGGTCATCATCCCCCTGGGTCTTCTGGTCCTCTTGTTCTTCGTGTCCTGGTACTCCAGCTACGGGTTCGTGCGGCGTTGGAACTGCGTCCTGATGAGAAACCACGACATCGTCCAGCAGCCCATGAAGGAAGGAAGGGCCACCTCCCTCATGCTGAAGGAAGCGCTGGGATTCATCGACAGGTTCGGAGCCTTCTCCTGCCTGGCTTCCTGCCCGGGAACTGCAGTCTTAGCTCGGGGCACACGGATGCAGCTTAACAACCTGAGCATTTTATTCATTATTGTTATTTTTTTAGAGAGGATTTTGCTATAGGGCTCGTGTGCTTGCCAGGCAGGTGACTGCTCACTTTTTCTCTCTCTCTGTCTCTCCAATGAGTGTGCACACTCTATAGCAAAATTTAAAAAGAACAAGAAGTTTGGGTGATATTTGTGACACTCGAATCTCTCCTTGGGTAGAAAAAGGCAGAGGGACATTTCCTACAGATTTTGAATGCTGAACATGCCATCGGGAATGGTTTCATAGCACAGAACTTAAGCCTTGTGCGTAGGGAGCTGGATTCCACATGGAACATCCCATGCCATTTGTAAAAATGGTGTTTCTTCATTCTTTCTTTCTCTTCTTTTATGTTGCCTGAGATATAAATATGATGGCTGGAGCTTTGGCATCCATGTTGGGCCATGAGGTTGATGAGACAAGATAGCCGAGAGCCGGAGACAAGAAGCTGGGGGTTTAATGGTATCTGTCGCCTGTTTATCCCAGCAGAGAAACTTCATTTACTTACAACCTGCACATTGTGTTCTGAATTTTAACGTCGCATGTAGGCAGGCCAGGCCTACTTCTTCACACACTCTCACAAGCAGCATTTAGAAGAGGGACAGGGACAGAGAGCAGTTCATTGCACTTTCCAGAGAGAGGGAGAGGCACAGAGAAAAAGAGAGAGGGAGAGAGCACCCCACCATGAGATGTGGTCACTGCCCTTTCTCCTCCATTTCTCCAACCTGAAGGGAATGTGGGTACACATGCACACACCCAGCAAGTTTTCTTTGCTGCCAGGGCTGGGGTTCAAACCACAGTCAGGGGCTAGCAGATGAATTAATGGTTACATTGATGGACTCCCATGTTGTCGACTACGGTTTGAGTCCCAAACCAGCAGTTTAAAACTCACGCCAAGCGCATGTGCGTGCGTGCCCAAAATCCCGAGAGGAGAATGGAGGAGAAGGGACTGTGGCATGGCCATCCCCCCTGGGGTTTGATTTCTCACTTTCTATCTCTCTGTCTCTCTGGTGAGTGCACACACCCTATAGCAAAAATCTTTCAAAAAACAAACAACAAAAAAAACCCCACACACTTTACCCACCATGCCACGGGCTGGCCCAGAGCTTTGGACTAATGCAAAATACCACGTGAATGGACACATGTCTTTATGTGTGAGATAACCCTAATGCCTTTCTACCCTTAGGTCTAAACGGGAGCCTTTCCTCCTCCTGTTTTCATTTCTGCACGTCCACACGCCCCTCGTCACCAAGGAGAAGTTTGTAGGGCACAGCAAATACGGACTGTACGGGGATAATGTAGAAGAAATGGACTGGCTGGTGGGTGAGTATTGCGCAGCACGACCTCACGCATCTCACCCGTGGGCTGCAGAAAAGGAACCTGTGTGCGTGGTGCCCAACGGTGCCCTTGCAGAGCACGGACACGGGGCCAGATTGGTTTCACAGGATCGGATTCAAGGCGGATCCTCGTTTAGCTGTAGGAGGGATAGACATTCTCTCAACATCAGAGTCGCGCTTTACGAACGTGTCTCCTCATCTTTAAAACAAAGATGAAACTGGGGACAGCAGGTGATTGTGGTGGTCAAGGCGCTGGACTCCCACGTAGCTGACTCAGATCTGGCGGCTTGAAACTCATGCTGGGCACGTGTGCATGCGTGCCCAAGATCCCGAGAGGAGAATGGAAGAGAAGGGATTGTGGCATGGCCATCCGCCCTGGGGGGTGATTTCTCACTTTCTGTCTCTCTGTCTCTCTGGCAAGTACACATGCCTTATAGCAAATATCTCTCCAAAAAAAACCTAATAAATGCATGTAAACACACATAATATTGTACATATGACATAAATCATACATGAATATATAATTAGAAATATATAGAATCATATATTGCCTAATAAATCATTGTAAACGTATACAATCTTATGTTCTATTCTTATTTTTTTTTTTAATTTTTTGGAGAGGTTTTTGCTATAGGGCGCTCGCCAGACAGACAGAGAGAGACAGAGAGACAGAAAGCGAGAAATCACCCCCCAGAGGGGATGGCCACGCCGCAATCCCTTCTCTTCCATTCTCCGCCTGGGATCTTGGGCATGCACGCACATGCGCCCGGCGTGAGTTTTAAGCCACTGGGTCCGGGAGGCGAACCGCGGTCGACTACGTGGGAGTCCAGCGACATAGCCATTATGCCAACTGCTGGTTCCCTCCTATGTTCTATTCTGTATACTACATGTGAAATATTATATGCACTTATTTATATATACTATATAGGGGATAACATGTACTGCAGTGTTGTATTAATAATAAAATAATGATATTATATTATGTATTACAAAATGCTTAATAACATTCATTTTTTAAAAAGAATTATTTATTTAATTTTATTTATTCATTCATT